ACATGTACTTGGAAAGTTTCTTATAGTCAGTTAAATGACTGTTAAACGAGGAGAATCACCAGATATTAAGCAGACAGTCTGCTAATACTCAAATGGACCTTTAAAATAAAGTGTTACAAATATTATGCCTGTTTTTGTTGGCAAAGATTTTCTGTGATATTTTGATCAGTTCTGAATATATGTAGAATATGTAACTCAAGAAATATATATGTAACTTTTCTGCTAGCACGATAATGCCACAACAAAGTGTTTTGTGTTCAAAAATCAATCATGGAAGTGTTTTTTGTCTATTTATTTTTTATTGCAAAATTAAAAAGAATATTTTCATTTGAGATTATTGAATATGAGTTTTGCATATGTTGTACATTCTTGGTCTGCTTACACAGAATCGAAGTATACATATGTAAACCATTGTCTAAATTGACAGAAAACTGCTTAGTGTAAAATAACAGTAAAGTATATACATACAATAAAGTATATACATACCCCACACTCCCCGAAGTGTTTTTTTTTTATTTATTTTTATTTGTGTTTATATATTCAAGAACATGTTTTTAGTTTCATTCATTCATTTATTTTTTTCAGCTAAGTCCCTTTTTTAATCTGGGGTCGCCAATTTATCCAGCATATGTTTTACGTAGCGGATGCCCTTCAACCTGAAAACCATTACTGGGAAACATCCATCCACTCCCATTTACACACATAAACTATGGACAATTTAGCTTACCTTATTCACCAACAGCGCATGTCTTTGGACATGTGGTGGAAACCGGAACACCTGAAGGAAACCCACACAAACACAGGGAGAACATGCACTTAAATGACAACTGACCTAGCTGAGGCTCGAACCAGCAACCTTCTTGCTCTAAGGCGGCGGCGCTACACACTGCACCACCGCGCCACCCTAATTTTAGTTTCATTACTTTATTTTTTGCAGGCTGACAACAACTAAAACCATTTTAAAGGGGTGGTCCACTACTATATCATATTTGAAACTTTAGTTGATGTGTAATGTAGCTGTGTGAACATAATATCTCAAAGATGCTCAAAGTTCAATGCAAAGGGAGACATTGGCTTTTACAGAGTCAGCTTAGCAAAGCCTACAGCGAACGAAGTTTGGGGACTACAAAAAAATACATCCGGGCTAGTGAGATCACAAACGCTTCAGGTTATGCGCATTCACCTCGCGCAGTAACAGGGCGTGGCCACAGGCACTGTAGTGCTGTAATGTAGCAGAGAAAGCTAAAATGGCCTCCAAATGCTGCTATTTCCACAGAGCTTGTTCTGTTTCTGTATTTGGCCTTTGAAAGGACACAACACAAAGAGAGAAGAGCTTACAATTTAATTTTAATTATGTTCCAGAGAATTATAAAATGTAGTATTTGACAAAGGACAGCTTCCAGAATCTCTCCGCTTCACTGCTGGATTTGACTAAAATTCCTCCAACCGACGAAGCTGTGGATTGTGAGCCACAACCTCTAAGTATTTTTATTTGTTAAAATTGATCAACTGCAGGCACAGTTTCTAGCATTAATGGTATGTTATAGTGAGGATGTAAACAAGGATGTAAACAACGGGAAATGCTGTTTGGCACCGTTAACAATTTAGCTCCAAATTTATATTTATCCGTCAAACCCCTTTAAACACCCACAATCTTCAGTAGCGCTGCAGTGTCTTCCTATGCGGCCATTTTACCTGCGTTATACATCTTAAATAACCAACTCGCAAAAGATATGTGAATGTTTCATATTACTTACACACGCTTATTCCGAAATTATATGAAAGACACTTGTCAAATTTTATTTTAGAGAGCAGGCATGAGGTTTAGCTCTGTCCTCTTCATTTTTTGTTTGGTTCAGGCAAAAACTGATACGGCTAACAGGTACTCTGACTGACTGTTTACACAGGGCTCAGCAAACTTGTTCCTAGAGGGCCGGTGTCCTGCAGATTTTAAGATATATGAAAGATATAACAGAAAAAAAATAATATGATTTTCCACAAGTGAAGCATGAGCACACTTTGCTTTGCATCTTATAAACACAACCAAGCCCTAAAAATACACTCTGGACCACCCCTTTAAACATTAAGAACTAGTGAATTTGGTGGAAAATGTAGCAATTAATAAGAAAAAAAAAATTACCTCCTACACTTTGGGTGGCATATTTAATGTGAATGCCATTTTATGAGCATTTAAATATCACAGTCTTTGAAAAAATAGATTATTCCATGTACTATAACATTAATAAAAAGATCCATTAGATGATGAAAGGTTGGTGTAATCATTAGTCTTTCATCAATAAGGTTTGTTTCGGTTCTTTTTATGGCTTGCTTGTGTTGCATGAGCTGAATGTTTGATAGTAATAAATGTCCTTAATTAACTCTCCATAAGGTTACCATTAAGATTTCACTGCCTAATGCACTGTATGTGCCAAACAAAGCCTTGACACTGAGATTTTGTCTGTGTGGCTTTTTAGATCGAACTGCACTGATCAGATGTAAATTATTAAACAGGTTTTTTATGTCCCGAAGAACAATAAACAGAACAGTACATTGCAAAAGGAAAGATTTATTGAAATATAAGTGAAAGTCTCCCACATTTCCTGTTTGCTTTAATTTAACAAATTAGCCTGAAATAAGACAGCAAAGACATATATACATTAGGTTATTCACAACACTCATGAGTATCCATAAAACTTGATAATACTGCAAAATAAACCAGCTTTTAACATTCCTTTGCATAATTCAAGATATGGGTTTAGCTTCAGTGTTCATGAGGATGAAATATTTTTTGATAGTGATAAAAAAACAGCATGCACATTCCCTAAAAATGACACTGTAGGTGGAAAAAAAAGAATATAAATCAGGTTCAAATTAGTGTGCCAATGGTTGTTCTTGACATACTTTACTAGAAAAGCTGATATTAAAACCTCAGTGGAGTGAAACTCCTGAAGGCTGACTATAGGAGTGTATCTGGGTGATATTTCATACTAACTTTCAGATAAATATTTGTTCTTATTCGGCACATTTTGCGTCATGACATAATTACTATGAAAATATTCACCCCTATAATATTACAGTTTTAGAAATATAATTTTATACACAGAAAGCATTGTAAAAGCAAGTTTTACTTTAATTTCAAACAACTTAATTCGGTGTATCAGTTATAAAATAACATCATGATCTACACTTAATAAAATTTAAAAATTAAATCTTAAATGGGTTTTTATACAGGGTGATTCTAAAAGAATGCCACAACTTTGAAAATCTGTATTTAATCAAAGAAACTTGATGAAACCTTTGGTAATTAATCAATGTCAAGAGTTTTTAAAAAACATTTCAGTAAAAAACAAGTTCATAGATGTTCAATATGACCCTCTCCACACACTCGTGACATCAACCCCAAAGTTGTGGTATTCTTTTTGCATCACCCTGTATTTCCAAATATATACATATTTTATTTTTAATATGCCTGAAAAGATGATTTAGTAAAAAGTTTTACTCAGGGTGCGAATTAACGATCAGGGGGTCAACTTTTTTGGTAATGTTAGTTTGTGTAATACAAGATTCAGTGAATCAAATGTATGTATTTATTTCAACTATATCTCATTTATTAATAAAACGTGTTTAAGTTTTCAGTGTTTTGAGGGATATTTAGTGTATTCTGACCTACAGTATTGCCTGATTTGCTATTTCAGAGGTTACTGTAGGTCAAACCATACAAACTGTCCAGCAATTTTACTTTACTTTTAGGCTGTATGTTGAAACAAACAGCTATTCTACAAGACAAGTGTTGTTTGAACACTTACAGTGTCTATCGCGATCTAGATCTGCCAGTTTCTGACTTTTCAAAGATTTTTTTCTTTCGCATAGACTGATTGCCTTGATTTTGTGTTCACAAATGCTCTATGCACAGAGTTTTAAAGCCAATGATAAAGTTTTGGTGAAAGCTTAATGTGACTATTTTCATTTTTGTTTTTGCAGCATCTATGTTGTAATGTAATTCCAATACATAACAAGTTAAATAAACTGTTATGGGGTGGTCAAATGTATATATATATATATATATATATATATATATAATTTTTTTCCTTAATTATAAATATATTTAAAAAATAGTATTCTCACCATTAAAGGTCTGACCTCACCATACAGGTTGTTTTGTTTCTTCAGGGGGGGATAAAGCATTAATTAGGGGGGTCAATCCCCTCAAACCCCCCATGTAATTCGCACTCTGGTTTTACTTATATCTCATTAGGTGTTTTAATGGACCCTTTTTCACATTTCCTGCTTTCTCAGCAGCATAAATCATCATAGTTGGGTAAACCTAAATGGGAGAATACAACAATTAATTTTTTTACAATCCAATTTGCAGAAGTAATAACAGAAAAACTACACAATGATGTTTTCAAGACTTTCAGAGAAAAAAAAATAGTCTGAGACTAAAATATGATACAAAGATGATATAATACATACTTGAATACTTATAAATAGGGATGTCCAGATCCGATCCTATCACATTCGATCACCTGGTTTCTGACTCCATCAGAATCGGAAGTTACCTCCTAATCAGGACTCGATTATATATATATAGATGTGTTAAAAAATAATGAGAATATATATATATTTACTATTGCGCTAAAGTCCAAAAGTGAAGAGTTGATGTTATTTATTTATATGTTACTTGATTGTTCAAGCTACCTCACAGAAGTGCTCTGTTTGTTAACAGAGTTGTTGAATGTTAAAATAATGTGAATTAAATTAAAAATAAGGAACATCCTGGATCTGTTTCTTCGCTCTTCTTTATTCTATTGTGTATGTGTTGTAGAAGTTGATATGGATTGGGTTTCGGTAGATAATCAAAATCAAATGACTCGGACTCGAGGGCAAAAAAAAGTGATCAAGCATTCCTACATAAAAATGTAGATATAGTTTTTTAAAATAAAAATATTTACAAATTTCAAGGATTTAAGATTATAATGACCGTTAAACACGTCATGATATGTGAAAAGGGTCTATAATTTATTAACATTTTTTATACACCGGATGACAGAGTCGATCTGTAAATCATGGCGATAATGGTTGAAAGCTAATTGAACAGGACATTTCTAATATACAAAACAAAATCTGTATTACACTTTTATCCTTTTCACGCTTGAAAACTTTTTGCATTGCATTTAAAAAAAGCTCTTTTAAACACCACAGAGAAAAATTGAAATAAAAAAGCCAAAAAAAAGGCTAACCAAAATGGTAAACTATTCCAAAAACAGACATGAAATGTGACCTCTCCATGTATGCAAATAGATCACCCAATCCAGTGCAAAAATATTAAGTCCATTGCAATGTGTTAGCGGATTAGTTCTCATCTAAATCCATATTACTGTGGTCAGACATGACGTACATAGACTTGCTCTTCTTCTTGCGGCCTTTGGCTTCCTCTGGCTCAGACACTGATGTTAAAGACAGATAAGCGGCTATGCTGCTTCTCACCCCGTAGCTCATCATGTTGTCTCTGCTGTCTACGCTGTCCAGTTCACTTGGGTTTAATAATTGTGACCTGTTCACACAGAGACATATTTATACAGCGGTCATTCACAAGCGGAAGAGATGATTAGTGTGATTTACATAGACAGACACGTACTTTTTCACTTTGTTCCAATCCAGGTTTCGACGCATTACTACAGGAGGAGCTCCCTGGATTGAGCTCGGCGTCGGGTTTGACAGAGCCAGACATGGAGCGCTAAGAACACAGCATATACCATCAGACGAGTCTGAGGGGGAAGTAAAACACACATTTCTCAGTCACATATTATAGTGTTGAGGAATATACTGGTTCAAACAGTAGAGCAGTAGCATATAATATATGTTTTTTAAAATACAGCCTATAGAATGTTTTTATTAGATGTTGTCAGGAGGCCACATTGGAGGTACAGAATGTAAACAATGCCACTGAATTAAATGAAACTTACATATTTTGCTGATTATTACTGGAAACAATGATCAGCTATTGTCATGTTTTGGGCTTTACTAATTGAACAGACTAAAAAAAAGTGTGGAAAATCTATAACAAATCAAGCAGAAAATAGCAAGATAACTGTCTGAGAAACAAAAGGCGTTTGTGGTTGGTAAAACTGAACCAAACTTTCCAGGGTAAGAGAATCTTGACAACTTTATATCTGTTCTTATAATTAAGTCAAATATTTGGCTGATATCTTAAGTAATACTGCTGAAACATATCTTTTTCACCTATTAAAATCAGCTATAAAATTAAATTGCACTTTTTTTTACATAGTTTAGACAGCATAAATAGACAAAACAATGTATTCAGTAGTATTAACCATGCAATCCATGCTGTTGTTTTTATCAATGTATCGCTAGAATGGCAGACTAAATCTTGGCATTTTTGTACAGTGCAAACCCTCTATATTAGATACAGTTGTCTACACATTGAAAAATGCAATCAGACCCAAATATATATACAGCGGGGAAAAGAAGTATTGAAAACGGCGTGTTTTTTCCTGGGAATAATATTTTATTGGAGATGCTGACATGGAAGTGAAACAGAATTTTGGAAAAACCCAAACAATACAAACATCACAAAGAGCTTTACATAAAAAAAAATCTGAAAAAATTAGTTATGTGTAATAATATTGAAACGACACAAGGAGAAACTACTGAACTACTGAAAATGTATTTAATACTTTATATAAAAGGCTGGATTCAAGTCAGGCGATTGGCTGGGCCATTCTACAGCTTGATTTTTTTTCTCTGAAAGCATTTGAGTTTTTCATTGGCTGTGTTTTGGATCATTGTCTTGCTGAAATGTCCACTCTGGTTTCATCTTCATCATCCTGATAATGTAGATGTTGGACTGAAGCAGCTGATATTAATTTACACTGACGAAGGGCAGAGAGTTGCTGGAAAACTACTGACAGATTTCAGCTGCTGTCTGGGCTTTCAATACCCTTCTACACCTCCCTTTCTTCATGTGTTCAATACTTTTTCCCTGCGTCATTTCCTTTTTTTTACGCATAACTTTATTTATAAAATAATTTGATTCCCTTGCATATATGGATTTTTGTGTTGTTACCAACATTCATTCATTCATTTTCTTTTCGGCTTATGCCGAGTTCAGACTGCATGATTTTCAAAGTAGTCGTGTCACAGATGTTTTCACACTGCATGACTATCTGGGCTAGCGTTTCGTCACTGCTTTGTTTACACTGCAAAATGGTTCGGCGACATAAACATTCACATTGCATGACTTTACTATAGGGAGAATCGCCGACAACTTCGTCCAAACTACGTCTCACAGCCAAAAACATGTAGTAGGCCTATATCTTTTGTTATTAACTACATAATGAGAAAGAAGCCTTTAATGGGGTAGAACATGTACATGTTTGCTCACCTGGGTTTAAAGGGAATTAGCCATTTCTCCTCAACTTAAGTTGAAAATAAACTGATTTCTTTCTGTATGAAATGTCAAACAGACACGTGTGCTTCTGAGTCCTGTCAAACCTCCACTAGTTTTTCCTCCATTTCGTGGGTTCAAATAAACAGAAAAAGAGCTCTTTTAACTTCTCCCCCAGCCTCCCACTGGCCTGCAGCAGGTATACACACACGCACACACAAGTGAAAGCTGCTCTCTCATTGGCTGTAGGCGATGGCTGATGTTATTTTCAGTCAAAACTCAATTCACACGGCATGATTTGAATCGCCGACAGCTCCAGATATTTAGCACGCCAAATATCTCACAGGCATCGGCGACTCATCGGCGATTCTCTCAGATCGTGTCTTTGATCGTTCATACTGTGTGATTGTCACTCACGTGCACAAGCAGCGATTTGCCTGTGATTTCAGGCATTTGTCGGCGATTTCTCAAAACCTGTTGGCGAGCCAAAATCGGGGCTAAAATCACGCAGTCTGAACTAGGCATTTAGTCCCTTAATGAATCTGGGGTTGCCACAGCGGAATGAACCGCCATTGTAACCAACATACAGGGAACATTTCATGTCAATGGCACCTTTAGAACGATGCTTTCTGAGAAAAATCCTGACGTGTGAATACTTATTTTCCCTGCTGTATATAAGGTATATGGTAAAATTTTATCTACCTTTCAGCATTTTGCTACTTTTTTGAAAATTGTACTTTTGCATATTAAAAATAGAAGATAAATGGTGTGAATATATTATCTAGACTAGATCAGTGTTTCTCAACTGGTTTGGGTCGCGGGAACATTTTCAATGGGTCGTGGAGTGTGGTCAAAAAAACAACAAAAGTTTAATTTTTAACTTATTTGGCTTATATCGGACTTTTAATTTGAAATTCACACGCGACAACCATACCGTTTGACATATGAAATTTCATTTAATTATAGCAACAAATATGTCGAAGCGCAAGTTTGACCTTGAATATGTAAAGTATGGATTTACATATATTGACGACAAAAACTTAACCTCAGTGTTTCATATGTAGTGAGGTGCTCACACAAGAGAGCTTGAAACCTTCTAAACTAAAATGACATTTAAAAACCAAACACCCCAGTTGCAAGGACAAACCTGTGGACTATTTTCAAAGACCACTCCAATAGCTGAGGGCATCACAAAAGTGCCTAACATCTTCATGTTCAAAAGTAGTACCTGCACTCCACGCATCTTACGGTGCTCACCATGTAGCAAAGACCAAGAAAGCCCACACAATAACAGAAGAGCAAATAACTGGTGATTATTATAAAAATGGTTATGATTATTTTAATCCTTAAACTTTAATTTGCTAGCTTGTTCTGTTCAACAGGATGAGCGTTAATGTTTTATTAACAGTTCAGTTTAGTAAATGGTAACTGAACTTTTCCTTACCCTAACCCTTGTTTACAGTATTTGACATTTTTACTTTGTAATATTTCTATAATTTGATACGTTTTGTTAAATGACAGCAATAAAGTATTGTTTATTTGTAAGTCTTGTTGATTTTCTTATGATTTATCTGTCACTAGTTGTGTATGTTAACAAATAAATACAATTTAATTATAATTCCTAAAATTATATTCTAGTTCCTAAAAAATTTGGGTCGCAGCTTGATGACCATGTAAAAATGTGGGTCCCATGGCCAAAGCAGTTGAGAACCACTGATCTACATTATCTTATATACTTTAACTTTTTTTGTCCTTGTTCACCGCACCTTTTTTACACTATGCAAGAGTGAGAAATATGCTGAGAAAGAACATCTATTTAGTGCATAACCTTTTTACTAATGGCCATAACTTTAGCACACAACATTTAATAACCCACACAGCTAAATGTTCATCTCACAATCTGAATCCAGTTATAAAGATGGAACATATTGTAGAAAGAGGAAATATGTCTGTACAATGAATCAAATTGACGTTTTAGACTAGTTAAATAATTTAAGATCTGCATGTTATGTGCCAGTGCAAATGAGCACCACAGCTTACTACACAAAAATACAGAAATAACTGAGACCACTTGGAAAGAAATTGCTGTTTTTTAGATGGACATTTGCTGATTCAATTTAAAGTTAAATGTTTGAGTAAAATGTTATACTTGTTTAAACTGCAAATTTCTAACCAATTTAAAATAATAAAGTTGTCATCTAGAGAATTTGATGCATAAAATAAGATATATATGGTAAAAAAAATAGACTGCAAAAGCAATTAGTTGACTTTACTTAAAAAAAAAACAAAAAAAAAAAACAAGTAAACTAGAACTGGAAAATAACTGTAGGAGTAGCAACTACTTACACAACAAACTAGAGGTGCATTTCTCAGAAGCATTGTTAGCCAACAATAGTACATTAGTAACTATAGTAAGTTCTGTCATTTTCAACGTAGTTCAGCTATTTCTGTGTTTCCTAAATTCATCGTTACAATAAACATTAGTAGACAGCATCACAAATATGTGGTTGGCACTGCAGCTCTTGACCTGTGGTTGGAAGCCTAGTTTCCTGCTAATGTTATGGACTTAAATAGATCATGAAGATGACAAGAATAAACAAGCTAACAAGCAGTACAATATATTTTCTTCATTCGTGATTGTACGATATAATTTATTCAACTGTATTATAATATAGAAGTTAAACAGTGAGGTACATCACAGTTTGGAAAAAAATGTGACACGAAATGTTAATTTGCAATTTTAAACAGTATTCAGGTAGCAAAGAATTCTGGCTCAGATTTGGCATATATATATGCCAAATCTGACATATATATATATATATATATATATATATATATATATATATATATGCCAGCTTTTAACATATTGTTTTCCCATCTGTGGCGTCAGTTAGCGTTTTAGCCTTCTGCAACAGTTGCAAATGAACCCTCAGTTGTCTTCAGTGTAAAATGTAAAAAGATGGATCTCTGAGGGTCCTAAAGGATTTTTCTTAAGAACAGTGGGCAGATTAACTGTTCAGGACAAACAAGTGAACAACCCTTATTTCTCAGGCCCCACTCTGGCCCACACAATCAGCTTTTGCTTGGCCAACATGCAGCAGTGAATTACAGTACATGACTGGACCAAGTCTGGATGCCAGACAATGGCCAAACATAGACCATATCTGGGCCAACTCTCAGCCAAGTTAAAAACTCATAACTGGGCCTAAACTTGGCCAGATATGTTGGTGCATCACAGCTGCAATGAAATTGATAAATCCATGAAACATTGTGATTTTTCTAGAAGATCTGATTAATGGATCTTTTTCTTTTATTTGAAAAAAATTCAAATATATTTTAAATGTGGGTCAAATAGGCCAAACTTACATTGCCTACATATCATCTAAGCCAAATACTACTTTATACTTCTGGCCCAAGTATTGTGTGCCACCTTAAAGACAGTGCCACCCCTGCCAATCCCGGGCCATGTTTGGCCCACATCCTTTAAGTAAACGTCTTGTATCTTTTCTTCTATTCAGTTTAGTACTAAATAAAAATAAATAGCCTGTATGATCCCTATTATTTTGATAAAGTAATTAACATTATGCAGGTTATGCAAGGTATATGCAAACCTTTGACCTCTGAAAACATCAACACAGTTGTTGTACATTACAAACAGAGCAGAAGCTGTGTTCTGTATCTCTCACCAGAGTAGTGATTGACCATGTCCTCCAGACACTGGAAGGTAAGCCGTGGTGAAATGTAGTACCAGCTGTTAGTCAGACGGAAGATCTTATAGTGCTTAACGCTCCTGTGTCTCACAGAGAGAGAATATAAACCTGCAGAGAATCAAGACGAAATTTAACAAAAAGAAACTATTTGTGTAACTTAATATAATTATGACACACATTTCCACACATTGAATGGCGTCATTTTAGCTTAATTTAGTCAAATGAAAGCCAAGAGCAAAATCCATTTTGAAACAACAAGATCAAATTTCTTTTGTTTGAATTATCTTATGAATTTACTTAATCACAGTTTATTCTTGTAAAACTAATCAACCTTAAAGGGGTAGTTTGCTTAAAAATGAACATTTACACATTATTTAATCATCCTCAAGTGGTTCCACACCTTTATGAGTTTCTTTTTTCTGTTGAACACAAAAGACAATATTTTGAAGAATGTTATAATCCGGTAACCATTGACTTCCATGGTGGGAGAAACCAATACTATGGAGGTCAGTGGTTACCAATTTACAACACAAATTCAAAATAACTTATTTTTGTTCAACAGAAGAAAGATAAAGCAGCCATAGCTGCTATATTGGATGTGGGTAATCCTAAAATCTTTATTGAAACTCTTCTAAATTTCATATTAAGTAAAGATTGTCTTTTATCTAAGATTACTTTTATTGTCTATATTTTTTCTCTCTCAATTAAATCCTCCTCAAAGCATGCTATGAACAACACATCAAATATACAGTTATGCCAACAAAAAACATTCATGTAGTCCCAGCACAAAAATAATGAACTAATCTAAGTGTATTGGAGAATTAAAGGCATAGTTTACCCAAAAACCCAAAATTATGCTTTCATTTACTTATCCTCTTCCCATACCACATTGAGTTGTTGTTGTTGTTGTTGTTGTTGTTGTTGTTGTTGTTGTTGTAGTTGTTGTTCTGTTGAACTCAAAAGAAGATATTTAGAAACCAGTAACCAATGACTTCCATAATAGGAAAACAACTACTATGAAAGTCAATGGTTACTGATTTACAACATTTTTCAAAATGTCCCCTTTTTGTTCAACAGAAGAAAGATAAAAGAAGCCAATAGTCAAAGCTGCTCTTCTCCACATGAATATATACAGTTATGTCAGTTATCTATCTATGTATTAAAGAATTATATATAACTCAAAAGAAGTTATTTTGAAGAATGTTGGAAATCAATGACTTTCATAGTTTCCAACATTTCCAAAATTCTTTAATATTTCATCTTTTGCATTCAACAGAACAAAAAAAGCTGAAATTGTTTTGGACAAAGTAAATGATGACAGAATTTTCATTTTTGGGTCTACTTTTTGGGTGTACTACCCCTTTAAGTAGATTAAACATAAAACAAATAAACAGTCAAAAATATTCCAAAATTGTGATGTTTCTACTCATTTTAAACAAGTAATTTCAACATTTTTTGTGTTTACTTGCAGTGAAGTATGTTTGAGTGTAAACTTTTTTGCAATATAAACTTGCCTCTCTCTCTCGGACTTTCTCTAATGAGAAATGATCCAGCACTGTTGCCAGGCAGCAACAAAAGCTCTTCTGCCTTCTGTCTGCTGACACCCTCAAACAGCCATCTTTAGAAACAGAACAGGGTCAAAGAGGAAATGATCTTAACAATTGAAAATAATGACTTCATTATGGAATGTAGTAATGGATTATATTATTTTTATTCATCTAACTTTATTTATAAATTCAGTGTTATATAAATAATATATATAAAAAGACTCCACTTATTTCTAGATATGTTAGGTTTACGCAAAGTGTTGACAGTTAGTCAGAATAATAACTTTTTTCCATTTTTATAGTTGAAAATCCAGCAATTATTTATTTAATATATTTCTAAAGTGAAAACATCAATGTTGTGTTTTCTAAAAATAAATATAAACTGAAAACATGGCACTTTTTGTTAGCAAAATATATGAAAATGACATTTTAAATGGGAAATTTAGTTTTGTCATGACAGAATATTTTTTAAATGTATTATAATATTGCAAATGAACAAAAACACTTTGCAAAGTTTTATATAAAAGTAATTACTTGAGTAGTATTTCAGTTTTCTTTACTTCCAAGTGTTCCGTATAAATCATCATACAGTACAACTTTTGACTTTTGTAATTTTTTACTAAATTTACTAACAATTTCTTTAGATTGTTTCCGCACCAAGTATTTTTTTTAAATATATGATTAGAAAACACTATGAGGGCGACGCAGTGGCGCAGTAGGTAGTGCTGTCGCCTCAAAGCAAGAAGATCGCTGGTTTAAGCCTAGGCTGGGTCAATTTTTGTGTGGAGTTTGCATGTTCTCCCCGTGTTCGCGTGGGTTTCCCCTGGGTGTTCCGGTTTCCCCCACAGTCCAAAGACATGCATAAGTTGGCGGTTCATTCCGCTGTGCCGACCCCAGATTAATAAAGGGACTAAGCCGAAAAGAAAATGAATGAATGAAAAAACTATATTTTAGCCTTGTTCCTGATTCATCAGGCGTCGCCACAGCGGAGGAAACCACCAATTACTCTAGCAAATGTTTTATGTGGATGCCAATTAGAAAGCATATTTTTAAATGATAAAAATATTTCACAGTATTAATATTTAATTGTATTTTTGCTCCGATGCAGCCCTGGCAAGCATTAGAGATGTTTATCGAAAACACTAAAAAGGACCTCAATCTTGTGAACACATAAAGGCTTTAGAAACAATTGTATTTCCAATGAAACTAACTGCACTTTAAAAAATTTTGAAAGAGACGATAGAATGTATCCTCATATAATTGATCATCCAGAAATTATTGCATTCCATCCGGTTTTCTGGGATCCACATAAATCATAAGTCGATCAGTTTACACTCACCCATGATAGACCTTTGACACATGGTTACATGGAATATAATTCTCAGTTCCTGTTTGAAGGGAACGAACTTTCCACCAGCAACCATCTCTGTAAAACATACATTGACAAGTAAAGACATGTTTTAGGTTTGCAAACCAACAATGCTTTTTAAAATAGCTATTGTTTATGTTATTCAAGGGCCTCAGACAGATTATTTGTTTTTCATATCTTAAAAAATCACTTATCCAAAGGGTGCTGATACATTATTTACCCTTTTAGCTCCTTTTGTTTGTTTAGGATTTTACATTTTTATGCAGCAAAACACAGTTTTTAGTAATAGTAGCAATAGTAATACCAGAAGTAATATACAGTATGAATATTTAATCTAAATAACCCAATGCATTGTGGTTAAATTATATAACCCAACGCATTGGATTAAAATAACTCATAGTTGGGAAGGTGCTATAGTAACTTATAGCTAGTTTTTTCATTCATTCATTTTCTTTACGACTTAGTCCCTTTAATAATCTTTGGTCGCCACAGCGGAATGAACCGCCATAGCTTCTTTACACAGTTGAAGTCAGAATTATTAGCCCCCTTTAAATTTTTTTCTTCTTTTTTAGATATTTTCCAAATGATGTTTAACAGAGAAAGGAAATTTTCACAGTATGTCTGATAATATTTTTTCTTCTGGAGAAAGTTTTATTTGTTTTATTTCGGCTAGAATAAAAGCAGTTTTTAACTTTTTAAACACCATTTTAGGGACAAAATTATTAGCCCCTTAAGGCAATTTTTTCTCAATAATCTACAGAACAAACCACTGTTATACAATAAAAGCTGTATGGAAGTGTCTTAAAAAATATCTAGTAAAATATTTACTGTCATCATGACAAAGATAAAATAAATCAGTTATCAGAGATGAGTTATTAAAACTATTATGTTCATAAATGTGCTAAAAAAAAAAGTCTGCTTTCTGTTTAACAGAAATCAGGGGAAAAAATAAACATGCGGTCCAATAATTCAGGGGGCTAATAATTCTGACTTCAACTGTGTGTTTTATTTCTTATCCATTATATTATTTCAAACTACTAAAATGTCAATAAAAGTCACTTTGTTAAATGGTGGAGTTGAATTTTCAACATCAAAAGTCAACAGAGCAGAGATCAACATCCCATAATGCAATTCACAAATAAACGAAAAACACTTGTGAATCACAAAATACAGATACTGTTAATTAACAAATATTTTTTACAGTGCACAGTGTATCTTGCCTTAATAAGAATTAAACATAAGCCACAGATACATTTGTTATTAAATTATAGAGCACAAAACATTAAACAACACTTACTCTGAAAGACCTTTGAGTCTGTCGCCCATTTTAAAAACTGGTTCGCTGATATCACGGCATGGATAATCAGCGAGCACCACAAGAGTGTCGCAGTCTGTATAATAATAGATTACAAATTGTTAAAGTAACATTGCATTAATACATTCTTAACAACAGCATGGACGAGGGAAGATAACTGACCTTTAAACATGCTGTCCAAGCTGTTTGACTCTGGATTTGTGTGTCCCTGCCTTGTCACGTTACCCATGGTGGCAGGTCAGAGCCCACAGCTCTACTGATGCTGGAAATGTAAGTTCTGCATGTTTAACACACTGAAGAGCATGGGTTTTGCATTCAATAGTTCAGCAGCTCATGCAGCAATTGCTTTAATTTTGCAACTTCCTCTTAGCATTATCTCTAGCAAGAAATAGAACAGGGAAGCTGCGGGGAGACTAAGTCTACCACTGTTTTCCACTAAACTAATTCCTGAGATGGTATGTTTTAGCTTGTTTTTTCTACAGTGCAGCAGTCATGTGTCCAAAAGAAATATATATGCATTTAAAATACAACACAATTTCGTTTGATTGCATATTCATTTATAAATGTAAATTAGTATGATTAACTGTGTTGCTAATTTTTCATCTGTTAAGCAGAACTTTTGTTTTTTCATTATATTCATTTTCAGAAAGGTTATTTAAAAGATAAAGCTAATATTTTACTAACATTTATTATACTTTCTTTGTTGTATGTCATACATTAAAAAAAATAAACTTGTCTACTTATTTTTTAAATATACAGTTAGGTCCATAAATATTTGGACATCGACGCAACTCTAACATTTTTGGCTGTATACACCAACACAATGGATTTGAAATGAAATGAACAAGATGTGTTTTAACTATATATCAGAATATACAGTGTATACAGTGGAGGCACATATACAAACTGTTGTAATTCCTACACTGTTCACCTGATTTGTATGAATATATATATATATATATAGCAAAATTATAAGTCTAATGCACTTGAAAAAATGGAACAGCCATGTTAATAAAGGCTTATTAAATATTTTTTGACTCTTTTACGAGTGCCTTGGACTTATAATTATGCTGTTTATTTTTATGTATCTTTTATCCAAAGAGCACCGATACATTTTATTACCCCGGAAGCACTTTTTGTTTGATTTTTTGAAATATATATATTTTTTAATTGAATATATTTTTAATAAACTAAAAAAAATACATCAATGGGGTATAAAGAAATTAATTAAATGGGTTACTTAATTATTTCTAATTTGATGAATAACTAAAGCTTATATTAAATGCTTTCAAATATATATATATATATATATATATATATATATATATTTGTAGAATAGATTTATTGTAGAATTAGATTTATAATTAGATGTAATATCCTTTTATCTACATTTGAAGCCAGAACTATTAAACGCTCCTGTTTTTTTTTTTTTTTTTCTCAATTTCTGTTTAACTGAGAGAGGATTTTTTCAACACATTTCTAAACTCAATAGTTTTAATAACTCATCTCTGATAACTTATTTATGTTTGCCCTGATGACAGTAAATAATATTTTACTAGGTATTTTTAAGACACTTATATACAGCTTAAAACGACATTTAAAGACTTAACTAGGTCAATTAGGTTAACTAGGCAGGTTAAGATAATTAGACAAGTTATTGTGTAATGAGGGTTTGTTCTGTAGACTATCAAAAAATATATAGATTAAAAGGGCTAATAATTTTGACCTTAAAATGTTTTTTAAAAAAATAAAAAACTGCTTTTATTTTAGCCAAAATAAAACAAATAAAACAAATAAGACTTTCTCCAGAAGAAAAAAATAATATCAGACTTACTACAAAGATTTGCTTGCTCTGTTAAACATAATTTGGGAAACATTTAAAAAAAATAAGAATAAAAAATTCAAAGGGGGCTAATAATTCTGATTTCAACTGTATTTTCAAATGTATTTACCGTGTGTGATATGAAACAAATCACTTTTGTGTATTTAGTTTGATGAAGACACCAAAGGGTCCATCTTAAACACTTAACTGCATGTCAACTAGCCATCAGTACATTATTACAAGACTAGCAAATATACATCTATGCCTAATAGCTTATACTCAAACTCAAATGTGAATAAGTTATAGTATAAATAAAGACATACATCGGTAGATTTGCTCTTTTGATGGATTTGCTCTGCAGTGTTTGGACTTTCAGAAGTGGAAATTAAACCACACTGAACTAAACTAAACTGAACTTCAACTCAATTTACTAGAACTAGGGCTGCTTTGACACAATCTACACTGTAAAAGCACTATAGAAATAAACATGAATTGAGTTGAATTGAATATACACTGTAAAAATGTTGGTTGCCTTAAAATTTTAAGCTGAATCAAATTAACCTTATGAGTCCATTGAACTTATAATATGTTAAACTGACTTAAAACAGCTTGCATAGCTCATAAAATTAAGTCAGAGCATGATTAACTTTAATAGGTTACAATCTCCTAAAAACGTGTGCTGTCATGACTAATGGATCATATTTTTTTACAGTGAAGTTGCTGCAAGCATAGTCAACAGGATGTTCAAAGTGACCATTAACATAACACATATTTTTGATGTATTTCATCACTCACATTGTCATTTTGCATACTATCCTCACAATGATTGCTTATTTTTGCATAAATGTCTGTTCATTACTCTCATTTTTTAATCAGAAATGTATTATCAATTAGATCAATGCTACTAAAAGTAACAAAATTGCATCAGTTAACAACCCAATAACATTATTTTAACCTCTTTTACCCATGAAACACCCTATAAATGTCACTTTTATTTCCTTCTTGGCACATAAGTTAGTGTTCTTACCTCTCACTTGACGCAGTTAAATATCCATGTTTCCTCCAGAAGGCAATGTTTCAGTTCAGTCTGGCTGCTCCCAGTAAAGTTGAAGCAGGTGTTTTTTAGGAGTAAAGAATCGTCTGTCCTGCTCTCAGATCGAAGGCCGGCAGTGTTCTGAGTTCACACTAATCTAAACTGAGCACTGGCCTGCTGTAAACAGCACCCAGCCACATACTTCCTCTGGTAAAATGAGGAAGAGTTCCCTAACTCTGCTTTCCTTTATTCCCTCAATGTGCACCAGCAGATATGACTTTAAATTCCCATTGAGAGTAACTATACAGCGCAGTGCAGTTTGCAGAGTTTGCGTTGATGGTGGATGATGTGTTTAATGCATGATTTTGGTTCAGTCAGTATCATAAAGTGAAGCTGAAACAAGGGTGTTGTGCAACTTCCTGTGTATGGCATTAGTGGGTGAATGTCTGGGTGTGAGAGCATCTACATGTGAGAGTTTCTGTCTCAGAAGCATGATGGCTATAATTGCACATCAGAAGTGCCAAACATCGCTTTTAAATGCATTTTGCAAAAGATGCTAAAGTGCTTTTAGGGGTGCTTTTTTATTTTTATTTTATTTTTTTTATAGTAACGATATGTTGACTAACTTTTTAACTACTTAGGAAATACACAAGGGCTTTCCAACACGCATAAAGACATATGCAAGTGTATTTTAGATGACTGACATCATGTCCTATTTGTTGCTTGAAAAAAATGAAATGAAACTCAGATATGAGTTTCAGTAGCCATTCCAAAGCAGTAACTAAATCAGCATACTATCATCTCAAAAACAGTGCAAGAATTTGATGCTTTGTTTTCAGTGAAGACTTGTTCATGTTTTTATCAGCAGCAGGGTGGATTACTGTAATAGACTCCTCACTGGCCTTCCCAAAATGACAGTCAGACAGTTGCAGCTCATCCAGAACACTGCTGCCAGGATTCTGACCAGAACCAGAAAATCAGAGCACATCACACCATAGGTCTTTACATTTGCTCCTGGTTCCATACAGAATAGATTTTAAGTATTATTACGTGTCTACAAATCACTAAATGACCTTAATACGTTACAGATATGCTCACTGAATACAAACCTAATAGATCACTCAGATCTTTAGGATGAAATATATTAGAAGTTCCAAGGGTTCAGTAAAAGCAGAGTGAATTGGCCTTCAGCTTTACTGCGCCCCCCGCTGCTGGGATCAACTTTCAGAAATGATCAGATGTGCTCCAACATTAGGTACATTCAAATCAAGACTTAAAACGCATCTGTTCAGCTGTGTCTTTACTAAATGAGCACTGTGCTACGTCTGACAGATTGCACTATTATGCCTTTCTTTTTTTTCATTCTTTTATAACCTGTTTTAACACATCTTATTCTGTTTTTATCTGTTTAAATCATTTTTAATTAATTTAATTTTTATTTTCTTGTTTCTTCTATTTCTGTTTATGTAAAGCACGTTGAATTACCATTGTGTATGAAATGTGCTATATAAATAAACTTGCCTTGCCTTAATGCACAGTAATGTCCGGTGGCCCGGAAAGCACAAACACACTGAAAGTTAAAGAGATCTGAAAGTTCACAAAAATGTTTAATTCTGACATCATTTACTCACACTTCACTTGTGCCAAACCTGTTTGACTTTGCAACCTGTAACCATTATTTGTGTTTCCTACACTGTAAAAAAACGCAGGGTTCCACACAATTCATTCATGTTGTCTTAACACAAATCTTTTATTTTCCTTCGACTTAGTCCCTTTATTCATCAGGGGTCACCACAGCGGAATGAACTGCCAACTTATCCAGCATATGTTTTGCACAACGGATGCCCTTTCAGCTGGAACCCAGTACTGGGGAACAATGTACGATGTCAATGTACAAGTACAATGAGCTGAGTTTGATTCCTGTCTCATGGTCTTTTGCCGATCCTTCCCCTCTCTCTGCTTCCCATGATTTCCTGTCAATTTTCTACACTGTTCTATTCATTAAAGGTTAAAACCCCCTAAAAAATAATAAAATTAATTAATAATAACAATAATCCATACACACTCATTCACACACATGGCCAATTTAGATTTTTCAATAGGGCATATGCAAAGCTAGTGATTCTTCCTATACTGATAAACTTGGTTAATGTGACTTTTTTATTTTATACGGTTCCTTTTACTGCATCGATAATGTAATTAAAATATAATCAGTTAAATATACTTAGATATTTATTTAGTTGTTCAAGTGTACATCAAAATGAAAAGCAGTTTACACACACGCACCCTTCAGTAGCAGCAGGTTAGCGCAGAAACTCCATTGAATATACTGGGGTAAAATAAAGTTAATATTTTTAAGACATGGTGCTAATAAAAATTTATTTAATGCAGTGCTTCTTGTACATTCTGAGACCCACTTTATATCATATATCAATCAGGCAGTGAAGATCGTTGATTTTTAAGGAAATCAACTGTTCACTGATACTGTTCACTGTAAGCGCCTGACCCTGGTTACTATCAAATTAAAAGTCCCTCTGCATGCTTCTGCATTTAACCAATGCACCTACATGTATAGCACATGTCTTTGGACTGTGGGGAAAGCCAGAGCACCCGAAGGGAAACCCACACGAACACAGAGAGAACATTCAAACTCCACACAGAAATGCCAATTGACCAAGCCTGGACTCAAATCGAAAAACTGACCCCTCAGATCTCCGACATGTTTTTTATGTGTTTTTTTTTTTTTTTTTTATATTTGCATGTTTTTTGTTAACTACAGTGTGTTTGAGCTTTCTTGGCCACCTTTGCAATGACTTTATAGACAAAATAAAATGTGCACACCTGTTTTCCAGTAATAAACGTACCAGAAGAGGGTGAAAAGCTTGACCCAGCTTTTGTTTAAAAGTACTCTTGTCATATGAATAAAGTTGAACCACTAAAGTCATAAATTTATTCATTTTCCTTTGGCTTAGTCCCTTATTTATCAGGGGTCGCCACAGCAGAATGAACCACCAACTTTTCTGGAAGTTAAGATGATTATAAGGGCCCACGCCATTTTGGAGCCCCAGAGTTACTAATGAGGCCCCCTAATCACCACCCACCCTGCTCTTCTCTTATGTTCGCGACACCCCAACCAACCCATCACTTGTTGAAAATCATGTTATTTTTTGATATATTTAACTTTGATTATATACAGCTACTCAGCTAACATGAAAACGATTGTCAGATTTCCTAGTTCCTCTGAAAGGCTCGCCCTCAAGAGGCTTTGATTGGTCAGCTAACAAAATGTGCTGTGATTTGTGGATTGACTCCACATCACTCCCCTACAAGCACACGCTTTTGCGCTGTGTAACCAGTCCAGTCAGAGCAGCTGTTAGCAGTGCTAGCTGCCTGAATCAGACAGAAATGAAGAGCACACAGCGCACGCCTGCTCTCTAAAATAAAATCTGACAAGTGTCTTTCACATATATTCAGAATAAGCATGTGTAAGTAATATGAAATGTTCACATATCAACATTCACACTACAGCGCTGGTGAAGATTGTGGCTTTGAATTTGTAGCTAAATTGTTAACGCTGCCAAACAGCATTTCCTGTTGTTTACATCCTTGTTTACTTTCTCACTACAACATATCGTTAACGCTAGAAACTGAGCATGTAGTTGATCAATTTTAATGAATAAAAATACTCACAGGTCGTGGCTCACAATCCACAGCTTCCTCGGTTGGAGGAGTTTTTAGCCGAATCCAGCACTGAACTGGCAGAGATTCTGGAAGCTGTCCTTTCTCATATGCTAACGCTATATCTTTTTTTTATAATTATCTGGAACATAATTAAAATGAATCTGTAAGCACTTCTCTTTTTATGTCATGTCCTTTGGAAGCCCAAATACAGAAACACAAGCGTTTGGATGGCATTTTAGCTTTCACTGCTTTAACATTACTTAACTAAAGTTTAAAGGGTCACGAAACACCAAAACACATTTTTTGAGCTGTTGACAGTCGTATATGTGTCCCACACTGCTATAAACACTATTAGGACACACATATATTTCACTAAAAAGTGAAAAATGGTTGTTTTTGCGTTATTTCGAGCAAATTCGTACTTCCGGTTTGAAACAAATTTTTAAAGCAGCGTCACGGCCATGAAATCATAGCGTGTATTCCAGTGTTTAGACTGGACGTCTATACCTGGGAGTACCGTATTACGTCTCTGAGTGTGCTGCATTCATTCATGAGTATGGCTTGGTTCAAACCAATCAGAGCGCTCTAATGTGTATGTGCTGCAACTTCATTAATAAGCATGCTAGCTTCAAAGACTGTACCTGAAACAGTGTTCAGATGACAGAGAGACGCCATGTTGTGTTGCCGAAAGAAGGGGTAAAAGAATAAGAAATGTTTGGACTGAGATTGATAATGTGCTGCAGTGAAGGTTTTGTTTTCATTTTCTTTCTATAAGAGCGCTGCTGGATTTAAGTGTGGATTACAGTGCATGCGACACGCGGCAGAAATGCGTTTGTACAGAACATTTTTTACTTGAGAGCTTTTCTTATCTGGAAATGGTGAATTCCGGATTAGCTGCTCCTTTCCTTAAAAAAAAAGACGCAGCTCTAGTATGTGTTGATTGTCCTGTATACAGATTTGGTAAGTGTGTGCGATCAGCACCCTTTATTTGTTCATTCAGATGGTTATAGAAAGTTATAGTTCGTCAGCAGTACTCTGTCAGTGTTTAAAGACAGACCTTACTCAAAATGATTTATAATTATTTTAACCTTAATTACGTTAACCTCACAACAATATTATGGACTGAAAGATCCGCTGTTTTCCCAGAGATGGGTTGCGGCTGGAAGGGCATCCGCTGCGTAAAAACTTGCTGGATAAGTTGGCGGTTCATTCCGCTGTGGCGACCCCGGATTAATAAATGGGAACTCGCATTTTTATTCAAACCCTTCCCATTTTCCCTCCCCCGACACTCCCACCCAAACAGAGCTAGACACACCCACTTTCCTGACTTTTTCCAAACTAGAGGTTTAAAAACATCCTGCTGAAATAGGGGGTTTCATGGCCCTTTAAAATATGATACTGTAGTGGACAACCCCTTTAAGATGTCCAAAAATAAATCTGTCCTCATTTACTAATGTTTAGG